GTCAGTGTGGATTTAGAAAAGCCTGGTCTTGCTTCTTTAGCTCTTTGCAGTAACTGCAGTGACAGACATAGAGACATTTACATTTTGAACAGGCTTTTGATATAGCTCTTCATAAAATATTAATTTTCAAATCACAGGCTCAAGCCTCCAGGCATTCAAGGGTATATACGGGTTAGGATTAAGAATTGAGACATACATTTTTGAGAGAATAAAAAAGTCAAACGGAATCTTAGGATATATAGTTAAAAGTGTAGAATTTAAATCAAGGAGTGTTATGCTGGAATTGTGTGATAGACTACCCCAACCTCATTTTGAATACTATGTATACATCCCAAAAAATATACCACTGCTCTGAAATTTATTTTAGCCTGTATTTGAAGTCCGATATTTTAATTGTGGGGATATAATTTGTGGAGTCCCACAGGGGTGTGTATTAGGATCACTGTTCTTCCTAATACATTTTCATCTATATCTGTCTATACAATCATGTAGATTCTGATATAGTTAGTAAAGCAGTGTATTTTTCAGGTTGTACTAAAACAGATGCACATGAAAACACCATAGAAAATGCAAAATTTAATTAAGAAAGATTTAGATATATTTCAAAACTAGGCAACCATCTAACAAAATGACATTTACAGTATTGTTGTCAAGTGCAGAATGTTACTTCTAGTTAACAGGCAACAAAAGCGGCTTATTTACAGTAAATGACCTAGATGTTTATGTTAAAACATCATTTACATGTTCCAGACAATGTGAGGAATCTGTAAAATATTAATAACAGAATATTAGGATGTATGGTTGAAAGTGTAGAAATCAAATCCAGAATTGTTGTTAAAACTATGGGAGGCCCTAAAACAGGTATTGTGTACAATTTGAGTCACCAAGTTATAGAAAATAGTATATTGCTGCTCTAGAATCAGTCCAGAGAAGAGCAACCAGTTACATGGAACTTGAAGGAATGTTCTGCACTGACTGACTAAAAGGGACCTTTTAATTGTGAGCTTTGAAGAGTATGAGACCCGATTCAAACATTCAAAGTCCCCTAAGGTGCTGACAAAGTCAATCTGATGGATGTCTTCAGAATCAACAGCGAAACACAAACCAGATTAGTTCGTTTTCAGATTGGCTACAGTGGCAGAGATGGAATTTCTATACAACATTCCTATAGAAGATCACTTTGCACCTTTCATTTCCATTTAGTTTATATGATGTTGTTTACTTTTGTGTCATAAGTTCTCTCTCTTGGATGGAAGAGCACAATGGAATAAACGTGCCAATAATAATGATCCATCTGTTTTGTGAAGACTAACATTAAACTTCTAAAAAGCATCATTTAACATTTGTGTATGTGTATTCTTGTACCCTTGAGTGTTTCATTGAAGTCATCAGTAAGAATTACCTTTTGCCTACTGTGACATAATATAATACATTCCCACCTTCTTGCAAAATGTCTGGATGCATTTTCTGCAGCATTCATTGGCTCCAGACCAATGGACAGATCTTTATAAACAAATGTGGCCTGACTCCCTTTGATAATAATTAACCACGTTTTTTTTTTACATACTCCTTTAACTGTCTTAATGAGATTCCCAGTCACAAATGACCATGGCAATCGAATGATGCCAGTTCAAAGAGCCCTTTGCTGTATGAGCCTGCTGCCACCGTGACACCCAGTATAAGCCATGCCACGCTGGAAGGTAAAACTGGCATGCCAAGGCGTTTATTTCTCGCAGAGCGGAAAGCCTGTCCTTCACCTTTCCCCCAGAAACACCATCTCACTGCCACTTTGAAACAACTAACTTCATAGTAGGAAAACAATTCATGGTAGAACATACAGGGGGAAAAAAAGAAATAAGCAAGACTACGCACAGCTCTGAATTGCATACAGATTCATCATTTTAATACTGTTGCAAATATTTCCCTATGATGGAGGTTATATAGACAAAAATGTATCACTGTGAACATATTTCTGTCCCTTATCTAAACAGCAAAACAATGTGCTAATTATAACAAAAAAGCATTTTTAATCTTTAAAAAAAATGGCTCTGTTCCTGTCCTTGCAAATACATCGGTGTACAATAACTTATCTTTAAAAGAACCTAACATCTGGTCTCCTTGAAGGAAGCTATTCCCGAAACTTCAGCAGTCTTCTAATCTGCACCATGAGATGACCTATAGATGTCAAAATGCAGGCAGCCTGCCTCACTGCCTGCGCAGTCCCTTCTGTGAGCACATTCAAGGCCTTACCACAGAAGGGCACTTTTACCTTTACCAGTTCACAGGTCGGTGGCCACAAGAAGTGTCCATATTCTCTGCACAGACGACCCAACTAGACTTACCAACAGGAGGTTTAGTAAGTAGAACAACGCTAAATGTACCGCATTTTACAAATATAAAACATCAAAATACAATACACTGTACTTACAATGTCAGCCAAAATAAAAGCAATAATAAACAGCTGTAACTATTTTGGTGGGGCTTTGTGGAGAGGGGTTAGTATGAGACCCTCAGTGGAGATTAACCTTACATTAAAACTGAAGGGGGCTGTGCCATCAGCGGCTTCAGATCGGGGATATCTCAAGTGGCAATGCAGAACTGGCTCAGCGCTACCAAGGGTAGGGTGTGCATTAGTCAGTCAGCGTTGTCTCAGCTCCCAGTAAAGCCAGCCCTGTGACTTCCCAGACTCCCACAACTGGTGATGACATCCACAAGGGACATGCCTCTCCTCCAGTCCACTAGCTCAGTGCTGCTGGAGGGAGAGCAGGGCAGTTCAGCGTCGTCTGTGAGGGACGCGGCTCTCTCCCAATGGGCGCTTGGAGTAGAGATGTCACTGCAGACTGCGAAATCTCAGTAGCTGATAGGTCTTCTGAAAGGGCAAGCTGGAGGAACCTGATAGCTTTACTGCCCTCTCCCCAGGTGGCTACAGGGGTCGTTGCTGTGAACTGAGAGGAAGGCACAATTGGCAATTCCACATTGGGAGGGTATTAAATAACAATACCAGTGATTCTGAATCTGCTAATAAAACTGGAATGTTTTTGTACAGGTTCACTGCTCCTAGTGCCGAAAATATAAGCTCCATATTCCCCTGCATGTTTTGGGTCTTTAGGAATTTTTAGACTGCTCAAACAAAAAGTGAATAAATACTAATCCTATTTGATTGATATATGACATGACTGGCTGAAATCTATTTAACAGAAAGCAAAAGTCATTATGGATTTGAGACTGGCCCTGGTCACACCTTCACAGGCTTCAACAAGGCAGCACAGTCTGTAGGCGCCGCAGCTGTTTCACAGAGCGTGCTGTCAGGAATGTCTCAAATATCAGGGGGAAGCTACAGTGGAAGAAACACTCAGCACAGAGAAAAGGGAGAGGGCTTCCAGCATTATCCACAGCGAAGCAAAAAAAAAGGACTAAACAATAAAAAAAGATTTGTCTTGACAACCCTAGCCAGAGCAGTTCAAACTCTCCTACGTGATTTTATCAGAAGTCCTGTTTTTTTCTTGCTCACAGAGGTGGCAACTGCTTTGGTCAAACAGCACCAAGAGCAATAATAATAATAGTAATAATAATACAATTATAAGAAACAGAGCTTTTTCATTATAAGGTGTTGCCTATTCCTTTTGCAAAGCAGTGTAAGGCAAGTGTAATATAGTGCATTTCTTTTAAAAAGCATAACTCTTTAACTGCTCGACAGAGCTTATGAAACAGACAGACCTCATGGCAGTAAGGCCCAGCACCTGCAGAGCCGCAGGCTGAGAAGCAAATAGGTTCTGATTAACATTCCCAACTGCCTGACATGATCTCAAGCCCAGCAGGTTCTACGGAACAAGCGTGTGATTTGATCGGACACACCCAGACAACCAACCTGCTCCACCTGTTCCAATAACTATAGATCGATCAGGTTTAAGCTCAAAATAATGTTCTCAGCTTTGCTTAAACTACTGGGTGAAACTAATGAGACTTTCACAGCCATAGGCCTCCTTATATTACATTCCTGAGAGTCTAAAATTGTCATGCCCCAACAGGTCTGGTCTGTAATGCATCAGGAAGGAGCTACTGTTTGGAAGAGCTAAACCTTTTTACAGTTTTGCACTGACCCTGTGATTCCGAATTTGATGTTGAGGATGATCTAGGAAAGGTACTCCAGCATTCTGGCAATGCTTAGTGCTGAACTGCACGTGCGTTTAGATTATTCACAGACAAAAGATCCTTAACAAACCCAAATACTGAGCAAATCCGTCATCTCATTTCTCTGTCACAAAGAATCACAGGGTCTGTTTTAAATTAGCTAATGCATCAAGGGCCAGTATGTTTTTAGAAAAAGTAGACTGAAAAAGAAACCATAAATAGCTTTGGTACCATGCACAGGGTGCGACAATATGTAGGCTCAGTTTACAGTGCAGATTCCAACAGGCAGTACAGCCGCCAGTCTTCTCTTTCAGAGACACATATGGAGCAGCTCAGCTCAGGATGCTTTCAGACGCTCTCTGAGGCAAAGTAATTAAATAAATGGCTGCCGAACTTGTCTTCCAACTGCCTCGGGCAACGCTAACCTGTGTGTTAAAGGACATTTCTCTCTCACTCGAAACATCTCTTTCATTGCCCTAACAGGGGTTTGGCTTTGCTGGGCTATGTGTAGGCAGCCACCACTTTCTTGAGGCTCAGTCATAATGGCCTGAACTTACCACTTAGAGAAGTTTTATGCTAAAAACATCAGACTTTTATATAAAAGCTAAAATCCACAATTATAATAAAGATGCTAATAGAACAGGAGGGGTCATTTTTGTATTCTGCAAAAAATCTTGCACACGCATAGAGAATTTAGGAGAAAGCTGCATTTACTTTGCATTTACCAGACTCAAAACCCTCTCCTTCAGAAAAGCCTTTACTTAACTGGTTCCATTCTTCACCTCTCTGCTTTCCTTAGTACCACCTTCCACGGTCTCCTCTATATATTGTTTATTGTGTATTCTTCTTATTTATTGTTGTTGTCATCCTGTAAAGCGCTTTAAATTGCCACCTTTAAAGGCGCTATATAAAATAAAAGTTTATTATTATTATTATTATCATCTAAACTGAATAGGAAAGGTTTTTGAAAACTACCGCCCAATGGGAAGGATTCCAGAGTCACCCCAGCAAAGCCAAACTCTTGCTCTTTTCACTGAGCAGCTTCTGCGTGCAGCTGGCTGTCACGCTGGTGTCCGAAGGGATCGAGGCAAGAAAGAGCACAATTCTGGGTGGAGCACACTCAGCCGCCTAAACGCTACACAGTAGTCCTGAAAAAAAGAAATACAGATAAAAAAAAATATACTGCAGCGCTGGAAGCAATCCTTTTGAAGACCCGTGATGTTCTCAGAACAGCATCAGTTTTACTGTAGCAAAAAAAAACAACTGATTTGACAAAAATTTTCCTCTGGAATGCAAATCGTCGGAGAATTTGGTCTTTGCGCCAGGGACTCCGCCCAGGAAATGTCTCCCCCTTCTCTCCCGGGTCCTTCGTGTGTTTGTGAGGGAACCGCGGTGTCCCAGCGGAACGAGAGCAAGACCAGAGCTGCAGGTGGGCTTCTGTTACCCAAAGAACAACAAGTCCCCTGGACGAGGGACTGCTGGGAATAGGACTTCTGATGGGTGCTCCTCATCCTCCTCTTTTTTCTTATGTTATATTTTTACAGCCAGGGCGTAACTGGGCAGGAAGCACTGGTCCTCTTCTGCCCCGCACCCCTCTTTGTGATGCATGAGACCTGAGCTGGTTGCACGGCCAAGGGACTGCGCCCCCTTATTCCCCCACCCCACCCCCCACTCCCCCAGACTGCGGGGGCCAGGGCTCCCCGCTCGTCTCCCCGACCCAGCTCATAGCTCCCCGTGCCCGTCCTCGTCCTGGGTGGCCCCGGAGCCCTCCCTGCCGCTCGGGTCCTTCAGGTTGGCGTAGGCCACCTCCTGGGCCAGCTGCTCCAGCGGCGGCAGCCCCACCGCCAGGTTCCGCAGGGCGATGGCCGTCATCAGGAAACTGGGGGGACAGGCCAAGAGAGAAAGCCGTGAAGGCGGGTGAAGAGAAAAGGAGAGAGAGGGGGGAGAAGAGAAAGGAGACGGAGGGAAAGGGAGAGAGAGTGCACTTCCTTCTGCACTGTGACAGATACTCAGGGATTAGAGAAACATTCTTCCCGAAATTCAGAAATCGAATCCCAGAGTTCCCACACCTGCCAGAATCAGAACGGGTTCCAATCCTACTGGGAGAGGGAGGAGGGAACTCAGTTGAACTGGCAGCGCAGTATGTGATCTCCTGTCACAGCCTGAAGAACAGCGAGTCTGTCTCCCAATAATGCTCCAGCCGCCTACAGTATATGTCAATATTTTATAATATGTCTTTGTTGTAAATGTCTGTTATATGTCTGTAGATTTTATTTTACTTTTATTTTTTGTTTTGTTTAATGTAAATATCATTACTTTCATTTGCTTTGGCAACACTGATTGTACCCATCGGTCATGCTAATAAAGCACCTTGAATTGAATTGACAAAACGAGAGGAGGTACAGGGCCTCCTCCACCACACTGCGTCTGGGCACAGTCAACATCGACAGTGACCTGCTTCTGGACTGAACAGTAAACTGATACATCTGTTCTTTTTCTTTTCCCGTTTACAACCGTTTTTGTGCAATATATGCCAGGGACCTGTGCAATACATTTATATTTATAGTCATATTGTGCAATACGACTTTTTTGTGTACTGTTCTGTTCTGGTTTGTTCTTTGTATGTTCTGGACTGTGAGTAACTCTTCTTAGTGCACTTCTCACTGTACTGATTGTATTGTATGTATTGTATTATTGTTATTGTATCATTCGTTACACTGTGGCTGTGTTGCCTGTGCTAAGCTGCTGTTGCACTGCAATTTCCCTCACGGGATCAATAAAGTATCTATCTACACATGGGCATGACAGGAAAAAAGAACAAGGGTACAAAGCTCAGAGGATGTAGATCCAGCCCTTCCACACAAACAGAAACCAAACTGTCTGCTTTAGCAAAAACAATGACATGTTAAAACTGGAAAAGCTTTGCACAGGGCTGCGTTTTAACTTTGCAAGAAAAAAAAAAATCCTAAAAGATGCTCTTTGTTCCTAATGCGCGGTACGTCATAAATTGGTGTGCAGACGAAACTACACAATGATGCACCCCTGTCGATGAAGCTGATTCCCCACGATCCTTCAGGAAGCACGTGGATCAGACTCTTGGAGCACATGACCTACAGGACACACTGTCCAGAGCTGTCCCCAGGTGGGGGGGGGAATCAGAGCTGCCCCAGTAGATGGGGCCCAGTAGATGCCCACTGGCACGATGCACATGATTTAAATCAACGATGCTAAGCGAGATCCCGGGAGGTGAAGACTTCAGCACCCTGCAGCGATACGGAGCATGCTCAGAACTCTAAAGGCAAGGTCATGTAACGCATGCAAGCTGTTTTTATTTTCTTTTAAGTGTTTTGACTAATCGTTTTTAAATCTCCTTAGCATACAGTCACCGTGACGAGCAACAGCTGGGACAGGGAGGAATGCAGAAAATACAGGTCAGCAGCGATGAAGAGAGAAAAGAAATGAAGGCAGTGAACTGAATGATCCCCAGGCTGACTGAGACTCTTCTCCATGGCCGGGGCATTGCAGGAATTCATCCCAGAATGCACCACAACAGCAGGTCAAGGCCTTCACTTTCAACACAATCTATCGACGATTCCTTCCCAAACAGCAAATGCCAGCAAACTCATTCTGACAGCAGCTGCAAGAGAGGGAATTTTTTTTCTAAGGCAAGAACTACCTAAGGACAATCACTAAGATATAATTTACCTGGTGGGTTGTGTGATGTCACAAGTATAAATGAAGGATATAGAATCATGTGTGCTGAATGTAACAGCGTGCTGCTCACTTCCCCTGTGGAAACAGTGGAGGATTCGCCCTGAAGTCTGGACCCTGCTCCTCTCATCTGTAACCTTCATGAACTCTGACATCCTTATGGATCGGGCAGGGGGACTGGGGGAGGAGCTGACCTGCGCCGGAGGATGTAGTATTTCTTCTGAGAAAAGCGGATGGACCTCTCCAGCAAGGTGGCGTTGCGCCGCCTCTGCCTCTCCTCCATGTGCTTCTGTTGCCGTAAGAACGCCTTGAGCACGGGGTCCGTCACGTTCAACTCTCCCCCTGTCCCGTTCAGGATGGGCTGCAGCTCTGGAGGAAGGGGCTCCGTTTCTGCACGGGACACACACACAGTATGTCAACTTCCCAGCATGCACCTCAGTGTTGTAGCTTACATCCCTCCCCCTGTAGGACTGTTACCGTATTTCACAGCACTTTCCACCGAAAGAGCTTACTGAGGAAGAAATGACACGTGTGCAACACTTCAGTCAGGATTTAGCAGTCATTTTAAGATGGTTTCAATCAGACCTACTACACCAAGTCACCATGGAATACCATGGTGTACTATAGTGAAATAGTAATCACATGGATGTCATGGATATCTCCAATGTCTGCTGTCATAAAACACAGTAAAAATATGTTGAAACTTAACAAAATGAATTTTACATGTTCCATTTGGATAACAGAATTTGGAAACAGGCTCCTTAGTTTCACTGATGGAAGAAAGTGACACAGCACTCCTAGAGCATGTGAGATGTAGGTCTGAAGCAGGTTTCAATGTCATGAAGCATGCCAGTCATAGCACTTCCTACTACAGCAGTAGCTTGAAGACTGAGAACAAAATGGAGGTCAGCCGGCCACTTTACCAAATGTCAATAATACTGTAACTAGACAGGGCATTCCAAGTCTCAGTCCAACAAGGTGCCGGGTGCACAGTGACCTCTGGTGTTCACTGCTGTAACTGCACATTTTAAGCAGGGCAGTGCTCCCTCTGGTGTCAACCAGCAGAATGATGGATTAAAAGCAACACTGTAAACTGTACTGTTCCTGGGAACATTAAAATCCTGAATCTGATTAAAGTGCATCATAAGACACATTTGGGTACATGTACGTACTGTACAGACCCACTGTCATTGCATCCACTCCTAACGGTCGTGTGTGGCTCATATCACATCCATCATAAGCCAATGCAATTTTGCAGAGAGTGACTGACAAGGCAGTCCTCTTCATTTTAGGATATCCACCAATTAATTTAATATTTGTATGTTTTCAGACGATACCACCTGTTTCTCAAACTCGCATGCATCCCATCAGGTGTTAGTTACTGTTATCCAGTGGGTAATGCATGGTGGAGGTAACACACAGCGCCACCTAGTGGCACAACAGAATGAGTCCTCAACCCAACAGCAACACAAGACACCTGGAGCCAACACTACAGGGATACTGCAGCGGTGGCGTATATCCTGCCCCTGCTGTGTCACCTGTGCCGTTGCGCAGCCTCTCCTGCAGCTCATACAGCTGGGTGAGATTCTTCTGCAGCGCCGTCTCCGTGGTGTTGACGTAGATGTACATGTAGCAGGAGGGCTCTGGCGAGATGGTGTAGACCTTGTGATACTGTCCTGCAGGGAGCTGGGGAGGACGCACAGCAGAACAGCCTGTTGAAGGTCTAAGTGACATTATTCAAAGCAAAATATTTACTGGGAAGCCCACAAGCCTCCCATTGCCTAGCAGTGCGATCCATTTCAGGTTTTTTAGCCCCAACGTTCTTTGTACTTTAGAGCTAAATTTAACTATTTTTATTTATCTCAAAATCTGTTATCGCAGAGAAGATTATCTTACCTAAAATCCCAACAATATTATGTATTAAACACAGACTTCCAGTTGTGGCTCATGTACAATGGTCTGAACTTCAGTACAGCCTGAAATTATTTCATAAGCCCTGCATCCCTGTATCAGCCACTTCGATAGGTCGGGGCCTCTATGAAACCATTTTACATTCTAACGTTGGCCTGTGCAGAGCTTCTGAACAGTTAAAGAACATGTACAACTACAGGCAGCCACTGCAAAAACCTGCATCTGAGATGGATTACATCACAAATCCTGCACGCAAGAGAGATCTGGGCCACAAAGCTGCAGACAGAGAACACCTGATTATGAAGCTGCTGTCTCCTCTTCACATTCATAAGAACCAGGATCTTCCATTGTTACTTGGAATTCTGAACAGATAAGATTTTTGAAGGGAATTGATAAAAGTATCCAACATCTGCAAGGGCACTGACAAAGGCAACCCAGTGGACTTCTTCAGAACTAATCATGAAACCCAATCCAGAGGGCACAAGTGGAATCTACAGCAAAGTGTGTCTAAAACTCACAACAGGAGGCATTTCTTTACCCAGTGGGTACACAGCCATGTTGTTGGAGCTGATAACCTGGTTTCCTCCAAGGAACGTCTAGGTGAGATTAATACCCGGATTAATTAGCTATTGGTAACCAAATGGGCCAGATGGTTTGCACATCCTCCTGTCGTTTGTAACTGTTCTTGTATTTCAAGAGCACAAGAACATAAACACGGTGATCGGCAGACCGATATAAGGGTTTTGACAGAGACAGAAGGGGGCAGACCTGACGTGATGAGTGAAGGATTGTGGGAGAGAAGCGCTGGACAGGAAGTGCTGCCGTGCTGCAGCGGAGGGAACCTGGAACCCTACAGCTGTACCTGCATCTTGTCCCCGGGCCCCAGAGTGTAGTTCTTCCTCTCCTCCACGATCTCCACGCTCAGCTGGCCCTGCAGGAGCTGCACGCTGGTGTTCCCCAGGTCCTCGCTCACAAAATTCTCCAGGTGCAGGCCTGCAGGCGAGCACGTCAGCAAGAGAACAAACTGGGTCAATAGTGACACAGAATCAGGACATTACTGGGAAAATGGAAATAACCCACAGGCACATTTTTAATGAAGAACCTAAAAGGCTTAGGTGCAAAACGAGCTTATGCTCCACAGTGTGCTATGCTTTTTTCTGCAGTAAAATATTTTTTGTCCCTGCATTCCCAGCTGGGGGAACTGTGTCAGGAGTTGATGCCAGGGATGGTGATGTTTGTTTCTTCTAAAACCCTCGAACTGCCAACTCTTGAGTATTGCACATCCACACAATTTAGAATGTCCAATCGGTTGGTATTCAAAATCTACTCCATCTGGTTTTTCAGACTTGGCCAAAGACTAATGGCCCACGGACATACTCATCTGTCACAGATGTTCACCGTATGACACACCACAAGCCCCAGCATGCATTGCAAAACTGTGAGTGTTGACTGCAAGAGCTGTACCTCTTTGGCTGAAGTCAGCGCAAACATAATATTTACAAATAACTATGAACAATGGAGATGACGAAGAATTACAGATGATGTTGCTGCACCTGGAAGCTGGGGAATGCATTGTTTGATGCCATTTTGTCTGCTGGTTATAACCTTACAAGCTTTCTCCTCTTCACTCTCACTTTCAGGTGTCTTGTGTTTTGGTACCAAACAGTTTTGGGAGGGTATGAACCTAAACCAAAGTCCAAAAACGGTCCAAGAAGACATTCAAGACTTCCCTGAACTTCTCACGATAACAGCATGCATGAGACTGACAGAGAGGAGGGTGTATGATGGTTTGTGAGGGCTGGAGAAATTAATTGAGGGTTCTAGTATGTTACCATAGGCACTGAGAGAGTGTATGACCATGCATAGTCAAATTGTTCATGCGGTTGAAAATTATTCATTCCCATTTATTTTGGTGTATAAGCAGACCCACACAGAAAAGTTTACTGCATCTTACAAACCTAATGGAATCCCAAAAGCAGTATTGTTCCATTCTAAATTGAACTGAACCATGAACTTCTTGCGCCGACAAAAACTCTCCCTATATTTGCTAACACATCTTCCAATTCGTCCCTAAATGTTAGCATCAAGGGGGGGCGATGAAGCACAGCCGCACCTGGGAAGTCGGCGATGAAGACCACCTCCGTCTGGTTGTCGAGCGTGTTCTCAATCTCCAGCAATTTGGTCCTCCAGGGTGAAAGGTCAACCAGCAAGGGCATGAGCCAAGGGGTGGGGCGGAAAGGGGACCAGTCAGCTTTCACTATGTCCACGCGGGGATCAAAAATCCTTGTGCGACAGAGAACAAAAAACATTTTAAACAAATTCAATACATGAACTGTTGGTGCTTACTAACATGTACATTAGTGGCTACCCATTTTGAATAACATTTTGCAATTCATGTTATCTCTCTGCATTTACAGGGCGAACTCAGCCACAGCTGGAAAAGAACACAATGTGCATTCGGTCAAACCCATCCTGTACTCTGTATAAGGACCTGGCTTGCAGCAGCTGATAAGTCTCCCACCCTTTGAATTGCTTAAATACTTAAAGCAGACAGTTTGAATATCTTCTGCTAAAGCGAGGTAGCTAAATTTACCCTCTGCATCTATCTTGGATAACTTTCAATAGCCTACTGCAAGCAGCATGGGTGAATCTATCAGACAATGTCATGTAGGAGGAGGCAAGATGGAGATCCCTGCCTCAACTACATTCCCCAGAATGCTGTTGAGAATGATTTTCACCCTCTGTCACGTGACCTTTCAGCTGACGACCTGTAGTCATGTGAGAAAGACCCGGAAGTGAATGCTCCACATGAACCATCTGGCTCAGAGAACGGATATTCAGTTGGGCGCAGCTCCAGGGGGGAAGTGGGCCAGGAGTGACTGGAGAAATGATCCACTTGTTGAATCTTGCGACTATAACTTAGAGGATTGCATTTCAGGTGGGTAAGCAGCTTAGCTGTCCCACTTCCTACATGTAGGGAGAAACTCCAAAACAGTGCAGTTAATGTTCCACCAGAGACAGGCTTTAGTCACTCCTAAACTAAATAAAGCTAATTATTCTACTTTTCATTTCATTTGTGCGAGATCCAAGAGCCACCTATCTGATATCCTGCTTCCACACCATTTTGGCAGTGTCACAGGGGGTAACTTTGACAGACCTTCTCACTCAATTCTTTAGGGACAGTCATTTGTACCCATTATCAATAGCTCTGTGCGCAGTGGTGCATCCCTGGTTAAGATAGGACAGGCCTCTATGAACAGGGCCACCAATCAGAGACAAGGACAGGTGCACCTTCTTTCCCAACCATTCAGGGTGTACCTCTGCTGGAAGCGCTCGTTGATGGACACCCAGATGTCGAAGTAGATCTCAGGTTCCGAGATGTTGTAGTTCAGGAGCTGCTGACTCAAGCAGGTGGCATACTGCTTCAGCATGTCCCCATGGTCCTTCCAGCGCCGGCTCTGGGTGAACACCTGGGGGCAGCAGAGAGCAGGCCTTGAGCTAGTATGGACCACACTAGTGCATATTCACACCTCTGTGCGAGTGACAGAACACACACCACAGTGCAAAGAGCTTCCCTCTCATTCTTTACCACAATAAAGAAATCAGAAAACAACGAAGGCTCTGTAAGTGTGCAGTTCCACTATGACATTCGGGATATGCCAATGAATTACAGTCACAGTTTGCAACTTATTTAACAAATAAATTATTGTGGAAACTGTTTTTTTAAGAATATGAAATACAATTTACACAGTCCAACATTAAACTCATCTAGTGGTTTTGAAATTAGGGTGAAAATCACTTTAATATCCTACATAGTAGTTCCATATACTGTCCTACATAAAAGTGGTAAACTCTGAATCCGAGATCTGTTAACTGAAGATTAAGACTCAGAGGCATTTTCAAAAGCAGATCTTCACCTTTTCACTAAAACCTTTAATGTGTAGATTTACTCTTGGTTCCACGAAGCCAATCTGTTTTGGCTCTTTTCCCCAGCTTTGCTTGTGTTGTGTAAGTATATGAGTGCACACGCACAAATCAAATTGTATTATGACATGCGCTTCAAAGGAAACAGCTAATTCTTTAGAAATAACCAAGTGTGTCTTTGGCAAACATTTGTCTACAGCTGTAGTTCCCACATAGAAAGCCCATCACAGTTTTGGCTCTATGGGCTTCATGGCCATTTTTTGTGGGAATCTTCACAGGCATCCACCATGCTCAGCTTTTATGTGTGTGCGCGGGGTCCCAGTGGGGGAATAATGAAAGAACGCGCCTGACGGAGGAGGAGGAGGGTGCTGGCAGTCTCTCACCCCAGGGTTGAGGTAACCAATCTCTCCAGTCTTCCCATCGCGGTAGGTGATCTTGACGTGCTGGTGAGAGCGCGAGTGGACCATCATGTCCCAGGAGTACCCGTACAGCCCATTAGTCAAGTTATTGTAGCCCTGAGTCGCAACACACAGAACGCAGACCAGCCAAGTGAGGGCAAGGCGAGAAAAAGACAAGGCCTCTACAGAAAAAAAAACATTCCCTCCAAAGCCCCACACCTTGCTTTCATGCTTAAATCCACAGTCAAATAATTCCACAGTCACCGGTGCAATCAGTGCTCAGTTCCTTTCAGTTTACTGAGGATCACCTTATAATGCACGTGTACTGGTGCAACCTGGCCCTTATTTCTGTCCTTCGTCTGTTTTTACAGTTAAAACATATAGTAGTATTTTAGCACAACTGCTATAGCTGCGCAAAGCTTGACAAAGTGCAACAAAAAGCTTTTTACTCTTATAGTAACATAGAAAATTATCATCAATAAGATCCCCATTGTTTAAATCATGTTTCTGTTCTGGGGGAATCCAGGCTCGGTTATTGGGAATTGAGAACTGAGCTGAATAAAACAATAATAAAAATAATCCTTATAAAGCGTTTTTCTGGACACTCCACTTCTGGACAAGTGCTTTACAGGTAATGGGGACTCTCCTCCACCACCACCAATGTGCAGCCCCACCTGGATGATGTGACGGCAGCCATAGTGAGCCAGTACACTCACCACACACCAGCTATCAGTGGGGAGGAGAACAGAGTGATTAAGCAAGTTCATAAAGATTATTAGATGTCCATGATTGGTAGAAGACCAACGGGACATTCTGGCCAGGATGCCAGGGTAACACTCTTACTCTTTTCGAGAAATGCCCTAGGATATTTAATGAGCATGGAGAGTCAGGAACTTGGTTTTCCATCTCATCCAAACAACAGCATCTTTTTTACAGTATAGTTTCCCCATCACTATACTGGGTCATGAGGAACAGATCACACAGATCATAGGGCGAGTGCTTCTTACTGGTCCCACTAACACCACTTCCAGCAGCAACCTTAGCTTTCCCAGGAGGTCTCCTACACAGGTACTAACCAGGCCAGGCTCAACCCTCCTGAGCTTCAGTAGGCTGCCAGTTGTGAGTTGCAGGGTGATATGGCTGCTGGTATCAAAGGTAAACATCTAAGTTTTCCAAGTATTGTTTTTTCCCCCCACATTCCAAACAGTCTTAACAAGTTTGGTCATGAAGGGTATCTCTTTGTTTCCAAATGTTTGCACATAGCTGATATGATCAGACTCTCACATTGCTCACTGAGTGAAGAGTTACAGGGTTACTCTTGGTTGCACACTACATGCATCTACCTTTAAAATCGGAGGGTGGTAAAATTATATTGCATCAAAAATTTAAGAAGACCGCTAAAAAGATTTTCAGCAACTTTTATAGAACTGCCTGCTTTTACGTTATCTGCATGGAAAATGGCACTAGTGTGTATGCAGTAAGACCAGCCCTGGATGATCTTTCATTTTTTTCACTATGGCATTTCACCAGCAGCATATCACCCTGCAACTCACAACTGGCGACCCACTGAAGCTAAGCAGGTGTGAGCCTGGTCAGTACCTGGATGGGAGACCTCCTGGGGAAAAACTAAGGTTGCTGCTGGAAGAGGTGTTAGTGGGACCAGCAGGGGGCACTCACCCTGCGGTCCATGTAGGTCCTAATGCCCCAGTATAGTGACGGGGACACTATACTGTAAACAGGCACCGTCCTTTGGATGAGACATAAAACCGAGGTCCTGACTCTCTGTGGTCATTAAAAATCCCAGGGCGTTTCTCGAAAAGAGTAGGGGTGTAACCCCGGCGTCCTGGCCAAATTTCCCATTGGCCCTTACCAATCATGGCCTCCTAATAATCCCCATCTATGAATTGGCTTCATTACTCTCTGCTCTCCTCCCCACTAATAGCTGATGTGTGGTGAGCGTTCTGGCGCACTATGGCTGCCATCGCATCATCCAGGTGGATGCTGCACATTGGTGGTGGTGGAGGGGAGTTCCCATTACCTGTAAAGCGCTTTGAGTGGAGTGTCCAGAAAAAGCGCTATATAAGTGTAAGCAATTATTATTATTATTATTATTATTATTATTATTTTAGCCTGGAGGAAAGGCACCATGGCGCACGGTGGCCTACCTGTGTGATGAAATGGGAGTAGGGCATGAAGAGCTGCTCAGTGATGTAGAGGAGGGTGAAGAGGGTGCCCAGCGTGTGGCGGCGGCTGGGTTTGGCGGGGGCGCTGGCAGAGTCGGAGGAAGACTTGGGGTACACACAGGAAGTGCTGGGCTGGGGAGGAGGCGTGATGGGGGGCAGGAGCACCCTCAGGCATGATGGGAAGCGGGCGAAGAACCGACGAGGCCAGTCGGCATAGCAGAAGAGTGGAGAGGTGGCCATCATGGCGTAGGGAAACATTCCTTAAAGACACAAAGGCACAGGACTGAAAGAGGGTACCGAGCAAGAGTGCAAAAAACAGAGCAACACCATTATGTTCTCTGATCTCTAATATAACAACTTGAGAAGATAAAGTTCTAATCGCAGAGTCCTGGTTTATGAAAGTGAGATCCCATGGTTACGGTCAAGCTTTCAGCTATTTCATCTGTGGTACAGGTGCGTCTGCATCAGGCCCTGCATGATGAAAAGCTGCCCTTTTTGTCAAGGCTGTTCATCTTTTTGTGCCAGGGTTCCTGCTGGGCAAGGGAGAGGGCTCACCGATGCTGAACAGCTGGGAGTTCATGGAGTGGAAGTAGGTGACGAAAAACATGGCGATGGGCCGTGTGGCATCAAAAAAGAGCAGATATCCAGCCGACAGGTCCAGGACCAACCCCCCGCCGTGGACAACGATTAGACTGGTCATCTCCTCCGACAACACCAGTCTGCAGCAGGCACACACAAGCAGAACTTGTTACGTCTGTGCATACTGTGCCATCTGTACAAATAATTGGGAATGCTAAGTGCCTCAAGAATCTTATCAAATGATGGGCATAATAATATAAATGACTGATTGACTGACAGACAGATAGGACCAAGCTTCATGTCAAATGGGCAAAATCAAGGTCTTATAAAGGGCTGGTTTACAATCCTTCAAAACAACCTGTGCTCCAGAGTCATCATGTGCTAACAGCATGCTCTTTCACCCTAAAGACACAGAGGCACAACTCACTTGAACGGATCAAACAGCCAGTGATGTGAGAGGTAGCCCATGGAATATCCTCCTACCCAATCAGAATCCAGCTTCTTGATCCCAGCAATGAAGTACACTATGAAAATCTGCACAATAGCAAAGAAGACGTTTTAAGAAAATGATTAACCAAGCAAACTAGACAAAAATTAAACTGGATAGTAGTAGGAATGAATATTTCATCTGCCTGCAATGCAATATGAACTTCTTTAATTGAACCATAGCTGTTTCTATAGCAGAGGATGTCCACCTTTTTGATACATTTATACTTTTTCCCCCAAATCGACTAGTGTTGTTAATTAGACCTTCAACTATAACCCAGTGAAAGGCTACAGAGTGTAGCTCATGCTCTCTCAAAAATAACATTGATGCAGGGCAGTAGTAAATGGCACAGGCATGGGGTAAGCATGTCATGTCACTGAAGGGTCGTAAAGTACACTATGTAAAGTAAAGTTACTGTGCGACTGACCTGGGCCCTGAGCACAGTGTAGTTCCACAAGGGCACATCAGCGTTCCTCTTCTTAGGGTTCCTCAGCCCATCGATAGACCTTTACAACAGGGTTTAAGAAACTGATTAGAGTCTGTGCAGCATCTCCACTTGACTAGAACATCTGAGGTAAATCCACCAATCACCATTACACCACATCTCAGTTTAAAACACACAGAAAAAGTACAGGTTCCAAACTCCCTTTTTACCTCACACATGATTGTTATACTGTACCTTGTTATAACAGGTATCGCTGATCAGCTATCCTGTTGGACATCTATATTTTGATCAAGCTGATCATTAAGCATTAAAAACAATAATAATAATTCCTTAAATTAATTTTAAGGAAGTAATACTTTAAGGAATTTAATTCTCAAATGACCTGCAGTAAGCATCTGGGGAACTGTGAGTTTGTACTGAGAAATAGTTATGATAAAATACAGACATAATATAATTAGTGGAGTACCGCAGGTATCTGTACTAGGGCCACTGCTCTTGTTCATGTATATCAATGATCTAGACATTGGAGTAAAATAGTTAAATTTGCAGATTTTACCAAAATAGAAGGATAAGCAAACACTCTAGAAGCAGCAAATGAAATCCCCAAATGTTTTGAATAAATTCAGTACTGGACAAACACATGGGAGATAAGTGTTCACTTTGACAGAGTATTACAAGATTGTAACAAATATACAGGTACTAAATCAGAAACCTTACTCAAAGATGCTACTTATGAGAAAGACTTAGCAGTTAATGTTTAAACATTGTTAACATATTCTAGACAATGCGGAAAAGCATACATGTTAGGATATATACTTAAAAGCACAGAATCTAAAACAAGGGAGGGTTTGTAAAAATTGTACAGTGCACTAGTAAGACAACGTTTAGAATATCACGTTCAATTTTGGTCCCAATGTTACAACAACGATACTGCTTCTCTGCAATTAGTCCAGAGAAGCACAAAAAAATACAGCCCTGGATAAAAAGGACTGTCGTACACTGAACTGAACCATTTCAGAAATGGGCTGGATGGCTTGAATTGCCCCTCTCTTGTATATGTTCTTATGAATAACTTCAGAGGTGATGCCCCTTCAGACCCACAGCACACTTCACTGCTTATCATGTCTCTCAGTGTGATATTACCCACATGCTTGTGCAGGGTTATTACCCACCAGTAGCGATTGGCGTCCATGAGGGTGAGCTGGAAGCCAATGAGCCCGTATAGGTAGGAGTGGTTGTTCCAGGTGGTCTTGTCCAAGAAGAAGATGTACCAGTAGGTGCTGATAAACATCAGGCAGGACAGGCGATAGAAGCAGCCCAGCATGATTCCAAGAGCTCCTGGCAGCGGGGAGTGGGAGAGGACAGACACGCCAACATGAGCTCAAGTCACACTGGGTAAACTAAGCAAAACGTGAACATTGTCCAGCAGCTTTGGGGTCTACCAGGGGTCAGCAAGTCTTTACTTTCCTACAGCATTTTTACATTGCTAGTTAATAAGGATTATTATTTGCAGCACAAGCCACCTCTCCATACCGAACAGCATGATGACATAGAGGAGGTACATCCAGTCCAGAGGCAGAGGCTTCAGGAAGTTGAAGAGGGGAAAACGGCACACTGGCGCCCCATCCAGGTACTTAAAGTCCAGGTGACTGAGGCCCCTCTCCTGGGGGATATCCACCACCATCAGCAGGCCTGGCAAGGACAAACACAGAGACAATCCTAGACACTGAACAAAACCACCACCTAGTCCAGTGTTCATTTTTAGATTTTGTACAAAGCAGCAAATATCCATAACTTTGACACTACAACCAAAGAAACCTTAACTGACATAGCTGCATAGTCAAACCCTTAAGGTCAACACACAGAGTGCAATCTTCAGATCCTGTGGATTATGAAGTCTTTCGTGACCACAGTAATAACAGATCGCATAACAGCATTTTAACTGTGATCAATCCCAGCATAGGCAGAAATGCAGTGGCTTAGGCTGCAGGATTATAGCTGCAGATGTAGCTATGGTGTGAGAAATGAGTGATGCAGATACACACTAGATGAAAACTAGATTTGGTATTCTTAAAACAAATAAGCTTCAAGATCACGGTGACTGCCCTTTCAAAAACAAAAGAGAACAGGTACACATCACATCCCTGATCAGTAGTTTCTCTGGTCATTCATTCAACTGAAGAAAAAGGTAGAGAAAATATTTTCTTATTACAATTATCTGTCACTTAGGGATTATAAAAAATGTACATTTAAAGTTAGCTTGTGACGTGCAAAGATAAAAGCAGAGAGAGGCAGTACAAGAGGATATCCAGCTAAGATCCCAATTCATATCTGCTATTTTATTCTATTCATTTGACTTAATAAAAGTACTTTCGCCTTCCGCAACAACCATTTGACAGACCTCAGGTACCCAAACAAAGCTCAACAGATTTTTGATAAGCGTAATCTTCAGTGCAGCGACCTTTGACAGTCACAGTCCCAGCGGGTTACACAATCTCCACAACAACAAAGCAAACAGACATGTCAACTCCACTGCAGGCACGGCCACACTGCCAGGAAAGTGTAACCCAGGACCCCCACAGTCCCCAGGGTAAGTGGGACAAAAGGGGCCTTTTCTGCTGAAAGGCGGCAGGGGACAGAGGATATGCCGTTACAGAAAGGGTGCTTCCCGGGGCTGAACAGCTCCTTTAGACTGTTTCTAATGACACATTAACACATGCCGGGGAGGAATAAATTAGGGATCCTTCACAGAGGTCGAAGGGAATGAGAAAGAAGCAGAATGTCGGTGATGAAGAAGAACAGGACTAAAATATAAATCTGTTATCCCCCTCTCAATGGCAGACTATACACTACAGCTGGTTTATTAAACACTTTGTGCATGTATCTGAATAGATACGGTTTTTTCACCCTGTTAGAAAGCAGAGGCATCAAAAGAGACATTTAGACGGATAATACATTTATTGACCAAGACATTCAATGAACTTCAATAAAGAGATCACACACGTTTACAGTATTTTTCCAGCTTCACACTTTTTGTTGTTAAATATTTGTACTTGTAGTACTGACTGAGGAATACCAAGCCTTCTGCCGACACAACCTGAACTGCAGACTTTTTATTTCTCTTCTCTAGCTTCCTATTAAAATTGGAGCTGAAAGCAGCAGATTGACATACAAATCCTAGCCAGGTGTGCAAACACTGGAGTCCAGAATCTTTATGCATGGCCCGCCAGCAAGATAACCAGGACCCAAGTGCATAAGGAGGTAAAATCCTAAGCTTCAGACTGGCACGTACAGCACCACACAAACAGAAAGGCAAGGGAGAGGCAACCTGACTCAGGGTCAGGGTAATCACTCCCACTCTATCCTCTGCACTGCACCACCAGCACGACATTCTCCAAGGGACAGGCCTCTTCACATAGCTGATCAGCAGCCAGTGGTTGACCACATCCTACAACTTGGTCAGACGGCCAACCAAAAAGCACCACAGAGTTTAAAACTGCACCAACACAGCTCTGTGCACAACATGTAGGAATCTTCCCAGTGCAATCTGTTATACACTGAACCCTGCTATATGCGTGTTAATTAGCATCTAGGTCGCCTGAGCTTTTGCTTCATCTTTGGTGTCTACTATGACCACTTTGAGTTTATCTGTCCAGAGTGCAGTGAGATCTATAAAGTGCAATCATGTAAGCAGGAAAATTTAATTACAATTTTTTTTGCAGAAGTGTAGCACACTTAAATCTTTTCACAGGAAGCGAGAAGAAAAGTGGATTATGCTGGGAACAAAAAAAAAACAAGTTTTAAGTTCTAGCCTTCTCAGGAACAAATGAAAGGCTCAATTTCAGGAGCAACAGAGTGTGGCCTATTTACTGTGGATGAGAGAAACTGGAGAATTGTTTTTAACAGGTGGTGATTTTTACCACTTTTACACTCATTTCTATGACAACCTTTATCTAAGATCTTCGGAAATCTGGCAGATTGCAATTCCGCAGACTCTATACATCATTGATGATATGATATAATGCTTTTTACAAAACACATACCAGAGCTTTGAATGGCTTGCTAAGAAGCACCCGATCCCTTTAAACTCAAATAATGCTGACCAATCGACCGGATCACTGACGTTTTATAGAGTAAACATTGTGTAACCCCTCTGCAGTCTCGCCCCTGCCCCCCTCCCCGTTCTCCACCCTCGCCCACGAGGACACAGCCCTCTCTCACCAAAGAGGAACCTGAACACTCCCAGGGATGCTGGGTCAGTGGGCCTGTTCAGCAGGCACACCAGCCTGTGCCAGGAGGACAGGTCCTCTTTCTCGAACCCCAAGAGGCGCTTCATTCTGCTCTGTTGAGGAGGAGGACTGCCTTTCCGCCCTTCGGGGGCCGGGGTCTTCTTGGGGTTCCCATCGTCACGGTCCACCCTCCGCCTCTTCCGCGCGGAGGCCTGGATGTAGGGGGCCCCTGTGGGAGAAGACAGCGAGAGGCTCAGTTTGCCAGGAGCATCAGTGGGGTCTTCACTCTAGTCCAATTACAGCTCTTCAGCTCCATGTATCGAGTCATCAGGCCACTGAATCAGTTCACAGCCGAATGTATCCATTCATGTGGTCTCACCGATCGATACATTCGGCTGTGAACCGATTCAATAGTCCGATGAATCGATACATTTGGCTGTGAACCGATATATCAGACAATTGCTCCTTCCAGAATCTTGCAAATGCATAATAGCAAGGTCTGGTGCTGAACCACTACTGGCTTCCAGTCCTGCTAAGACTGGTCAAACTGGTACAACAAAAAGCTAATTATTGTCTGGAGAAAAATAGATTTTATTCAGTGCAATTTTTATTTCACAGCACATTTTCAGCGCGAATCCCATTTTCTTACAGCAAAGATATAAGTAAAACGGACTTTAATGGCTTGCTGTGAAATAAGTGAATGGAGATTGCTCGCTTCAGTTATGTGTTATTCCTGATACCGATCTAAACATTTTATGTTTGAAAGCTGAAGTTGCATAATTAACGGCACAACGGTGAGACGTGCAAGTGTACCTAGCACCGCTCACGTCCTGAGCCAAGTCGGAAGTTTTTATTCATAATTTTAAAAGTAAAGAGCTGCATAATTCAAATTGACAAAAAAATCAGTAGTTTATTCTAACTTGTGATCTTTGACACGCATCTCACCGGGGTAATTGTTTTAAATGCAGACTAAAGAAACAGTTCATCGCAAATCACACTTTTATGCTGTCCAAATTCAGCACCCTGTACCAGCTATAGCTTTAAGAGCAGACAATACACAACTCGGTTTTTATTTTTTATTTTCAGCTCAAATACAACTCATTTAATGAATGACCACAATCATCTCATCCAAACGCATAAGATCAGTTCTACCGCGTTTAGAATCACACATGATCAAAGAAATTCGCTCTTTCTCTTAGTCGGATTTTTTACAGCTTTTCAATGTATAATCTTAAAAGCGTAAAATGCACGCAGTGTACGGTGAGCACTCTACCTGCAGAGCTGTCATGCCCCGGTGTCTCCATGTCGGGAGTTACCAAACGATTACTTTATCGCCGCAGACCTCCTGTCCAGCTTAACTAGAAACTGGATGGAATTACCGAGAATTTAAAATCCTCCCAATAAATTCACGCTCAGTCCCAACCCCCTGTCTGGCGGACACGTAAACACTATCCCAAAAACTTCACATAACCAGCAGGCTCACCGGAAAGGAACCTGGATTGTCGTAAAATGCCACACGTTTCAGCAGACACTTTATTTTACGACACTATGCTGGTGCCTTTGGTGATATGTGGCAATAGCCGGCAAAGGATTTTTTAAGAGAAAGAAAAACTGAGTTAGTGGAGTTATCTGTATTTCGCCATTTTTGTATAGCATTGCTTCTTGCAACTGTTTGTACATTTAAGCACGAATCCTTTTCTTTTCTTACTTGATAAATGCAGCGCTGGAAATCCCAGACAGGACAAAATAACCGTAAAATACTAAAGATAGCTACTGTGTACCGATTAAGTCGATTTTCCGAAGATCTCTCGTGTAAATTGAATTGTGTTTCATACCACGAGACTGGAACATTAAAGCTTTAGGTCATATTAAATTTATTTTTCCATCAAAGTAATATGCATCACATAATAAAAACAGATTACCAATAGGCTAATATTGTGTTTGCTTAATATTTAAAAGGAACAAATTATGCATTTATTGCTTGATATGTCTCATTATATATGAACATTTGTGACGTGACAGGCGGGAAACCTGTCACTTTTTAGATATAGTGTGGAATTCAAATATTGATTGTTGAAAGTCGGTTGGAGCGCATTTCCTCCATCTCGGCTTTAATAAGAATTTATCTCCCAAATTCCAGTTTTATTTAACGCCAGTGATCGTCAGCACGGATAAATTAAAATCCACTGTGATGTAATAATTGAATACCTCGAACGAGAATCATCTTAATTTATTAAACCTATCAGAAAGATTCCTAAAATAGCCTCCTATTAGTACAGTTAGTGATTTAGGGGAGCTACGTTACATATTGTAGCGCTTCGGGGTTCACGTGGGTGCCCTCGCTGCTGCCGCATCAGGTCGACCCCCCACCGTCGGGGAGTCGGACCCGGGTCTCTGGTGTCACTAAACAGAGACCCAGCCTCTTGAGCCAAAGGGAAATCTTTCACTAGCCCGGCGGCTGCGGTCCCTGCTATCCACAGGGAAGGGCGGTGATGTCACCGCTCTGGTAAGCCAGTTCTCACAAGCAATGGAGGCCGTATGCGTTACAATATACTGTATATGCTAAAGGCTGTACAGTATATAGTACAATATAGAATACATTGTGATTGAAAATTCATTGGATGTATTTAATAGATGTTTCTTAATGTTCATTTAGGTATGAAGATAACTGATTTTAAGTTACAGGAATGCGAGATGTCACCAACCTTTAACATATTGTACGTATTCTAAGTTTGTGAAGCTGTGACTGTGACTCTTAATGGTTTTGTAGACGCTTATAAATATCTGCCCGTTTCACTGAATAGACCTCTCAAAAGTGCCCGGAGTCTGGACTTCACCCACCTGGTTGGGAACCTTGTTCATGATGTCAGATGTCAGAATTGTTGCATTTCCTGTTCTCCATGTCCTTGTCTCACTACTGAGGGGGAAATGGTCCTCTGATCTGGCTTAACCCTATCTATAGCACTTGAGAACGTCTATACGGTACTTAGATCAGATGTCCTCTTAATATCCTTTGTTCTAGACTGATTAGATTGAATTCCCTTATCCTGCTCATATATTACAATCCCTTGAGTCCAAGAATCATTCCACTTCTTTCAAATTGTTTTAAGGCTAAGATATTATTTCTGTGGGATGTTGACCACCACTGAATACAATTCTAAGTGAAGAGGCTTATGAATGTTTGGCATACACTTTTATCCAAAGCAGTTTACACATGTGCCCACTTAAACAGCTGGGTATTTTATTGGCGCTAAGCAGGGCGGAGATGCACTGTGCAGACAGAGCTACAAGGGTGTGGCTCTGAACCACTACATTACCTTTCAAAAGACACTGTCGTGTACAAAAAAACAGACGGCACACAGGCTGGGTTTTAAAGACAAGTTTGATTTTATGTTGGGGTTTTTTTTTTTCAGTTTCAGGCATTTCTGCCAGTAAAAACATATTTCCATCAACTGTAATAAAAAAAAAAATGTTGTAACGATTGGGGAAAAGAAACTATTCTCTGGGGGCAGGTGTTTGGTTTTTTACAGTGCTGAAGGCTTTCATGTCCCAGCACCTGAACAGATTGCTGGAGTCTCCTGCAATGAAGCACAAGGCTGGAAAGGGGAGGAGAGGAGGAAATTGCTCACAGCTCTCCAGGGTGCTTGGCTCCACCATGGGCAGCAGCAGATTCACATGGTTAGATCAAGCACAATGGAGTCCTGGGCAAGAGTTGGGTATGAACAGGCTCTCCTGCACTCTGACTCTGCCGCTCCCACTGGCATGTACCTCTGGGGTTCTGCCCACAGAGCGCAAGGAGAGCTCCCAGCCATGTAGCCAAGACACAAGACATTGCAACGGCACCTTCCATCCCCAGGAGTCACAGGCAAGAGTAAAACCATGCTTTAATCAGAACAACAGGCAGGACCGCAGCATGAATCGAAGGTGCCTTCAATTTAGCAGAATAAAATTAATATATTACAGGTAAATACTGTATGTTAAGAATTTGATAATAGTAGAACTGCAAGGTTAAACAAAGCTAGTTAACTAACTACTGAAAGTTAACAATGCTTATCTCAGTTATTAAATATGGGAATGGTGTTGACTATCACATGGCAATGAATGGCTTCATTTGAAAATGAGATCAATGGGAGTGGTGCCCCTCGTCTCGCAGTCCTTATACCGGGACAGTGAGTGGTACACAGGACGCTGACTCACAGGACACAGAGGACCCCTGGCATTCATGAATAAATTAGAGGAAGTTTCAACCAGCTTTTAATGAGAGCCAAACATAGCGCTACACTCGTGTTGACTGGGCTGGCTGCTATCTTACACCACCGTTAGAATGAATAGCTCCTTTACCTGCCCTGCTTGTGCTTTCAGGCGTGCTGGTAGCCTGAACACAAGCCCCAAACAGAGAGAACAATTTCTGGGTCTTCTACACTATGTCTGCGTCTGTAGATAGGGTTTCTAAACATTTTGAGCTGAAAGCCTACTTTTCGAAGTCATTGCTTGTTTTGCTTTTTAAAAATATTCCTCGAGTCATTATATTACCTCTTGCTATTCATAAAGCACTACCTGGCTAAGAATTCATGCACGTTCAGAACACGAACATGACCCCAAATACAATCCTCAGCTAAAGCTGCAACTGACATGGGCTATTTTAGCTGAAGTGGGGCTCTTGCTGTATGGTTGAGCGAGATGCCCACATTTAAGCAATAATTTGTCAAGCTGCTTTCAGGTTCTAGTTGAGGTCAAGTAGAAAAAAAAGGAAATTTGTTTTTCCCTGGAGCCAAAAATCAGAAACCCCCAGGGAGAAGAGATAAACTGTCGCACTGTCTCAGGGGGACGGTGCAGGATTGCGCTCCACTGTTGCTAAGTAGCAGCTGTGAAAGTGTCAAAGGTCGCGTCCTCACTGCAGAGGAAGCTGCCAACGCCCATCTGGTAAAGAATCCCACAATGGCTCCTCTCCCTGATCAAGCGCACCATTCTGAAGCCTGCCTACACACCACGCCTATACCACTACACAGCCAAACCACCATCCCAGGACATGTCAGTGGAACAAGAGACAGGGAAAAATCCTCGCATTTCCCAAAACCGGAATAAGCTGGGATTTCTTTACCTAGCACAATAAATGGAATTCAGACTGATAAATTGCCTCTTCCTCCTCTGCGATCAATATCAGCACAGGGTGGAGGCTTGATTTTGTTCAACTAATGGTCGTCAAGAGTCATTCCTCATAGACAAGCTGCCTAACCCCCCTGTCAGTTGCAGAGATTTAAAACAGTCTTCGAACCGTCTTGAAAAAACAAATGATACAGTACCGTAGCGTCTCTTGGCTCTGAGTTGTGCTGCCATAGTAGAAATCTAGAAAAGAGATTTAATGAAACTAATCTCATATTGTTTTACTTAAAAGATACAGAACTTCACCCACTGAAAGAGATTTTCTCATGGCTTCTCGGTCAGGCTCGAAATGCTCTCGCCCTTCTGATCCCTGGGGGTTTTGGATGGAAGATCTCTTCTATCAGCCCCAGCACTGAGATTCTGTCTTTATCCAGACAAGAACAGTGGGAATGGAGCTCCTCATCACCGCAGGGGGAGACGTAGGAGAGTAGAGACGATGAGACACGGAGTATGGGTGGTGGATCCAGAATACAGATTGTGGAATGAAGGATCGTTTCCGTATGGGTAGCGGATGGGAATGGAATGGATCATGAGCTGATGTGTGGGGAATGGGAAAGGGAGTAGGAAAAAAATTTACCTTGAGTTTTCCCCCAGTTCTTACCTTGTCCTTCCTTTCAGATGGGTTTGTCAGCTGTCCACTGACCCCCCACCCTTGCCTGCCGCCCTCCTCTCGGGCTCTGACCCTGAAGTGTGGTACGCTCCCCTGTTCGCTACCGTGACCAGCTGGCCACCCTATCTCCCCCACTCCCTTGGAGCTCCTACTCTGCAGCCAGGTGGAGTTTCCTCCACTCGCCTGGCTGCCAGGCTGTGTAGCCACCACATTAAGCTTTAATCTAAGTGCATCCTGGGTTGTCTCAAGTCAAAAGTGTTGTTTCATACTCCAGAGAACCTGACCCCACTGCACATAGAACCACAACATCTACCTCCCATAATCAAAGAACAAAGTACCACCCTCAACCCCTTAGATTATTGTCCTAGCTCACACTATCATAAGCTACACTATCACCTACATAAATATAAGAGGAATGTCTGTCAATTTTAAAGAGATCAATGCATTTGCATTGTCTCTTTCTTTACTATGCATTCAATTCTGCCCTGTCTCTCTGGATGTTCTGCTCTCCAGCCCATTTCTAACCCTAGCGCATACTGCGCGACGTCTAGCAAAAGAAGAAAACGACAAGAGGTTCTCCTGCTGCGAGGAAGAGTCGGCAACACCGGACCTCCCAGGTCCTGCGCGATCCTCCAGCGCCGGCGGTCTGCGGACGAGTGGCGGGCGCAGGAGAGGGGCGTGCGTTCAGCTCCAGGGACGAGCTCGGACTGG